AAAATTAAGAGCTTGAGTTGTTGGTACGACGGCACACCTATCAACTTTATCATGTCAGCTATGATTAATTTTGAAACAGACATCGCCAATATCACCAAGCAATTGTTGTCCTCACCCTGTGTCAGACTGTTGCAGTCTAATCCCTGTATGGCGAGGTGGCGGAGGTGGTGGTGGAACTCTTGCTGAAAAAGATCCCCTGGGACGTGGAGCTGTGTATATTGGAGCCCTGGACATTGGTGAAAGTCGAGAACGTTCAAACAAATAGCCATTACTTGCTGTCAGAGCACGTGGCGGGGGGGGGGGGGGGCTTCCAGATAGGGCTCCGGTCCCTGACCCCATAAGACTAAGTAGCTGGGAGTGGACATCGGTCAAGTGGACCCATCCAAGTCGTTCTCGAACCAGTGCCGAGGTAGGAGGTGGAGGAGGAGGAATTGCATTCCTGTCATCATAGTCTGGCACGCCATATGGCCACGCTCTGTATTTTTCATAGAAATCAACCATGGCATCGGAATCTCTCTTGCCATAACCATGGTTGGGATAAGGGGCTCGTCTCAGAGGTGGGAGTGGAGGAAGAGATGGGGGGTGGAGTAAACAGATGATTGACCTCTGTACAGGGGCACAGCTCTCACCCCTGGATAGAAAGGAGGATAATAGTTTTCTCTGCCAGTTGGAAGTAAAGAGTCTTCTTCCTCAAGAGGACCCCTTGGTCTGCTTTTTGATTCCTGGACGTGAATGCGCTTACCTGAGAGTAAAAAACATTTTCCCTAAAATTTCAAAACCTATAAACAACATAGAAAGCATTGAAACTCCTTTATCTTCAAACATAAACTTAATTGTCAAACTTACCTGAAACTCTGTGTTATCAATGTCCTGCAGTGCATCCATGGCCTCATCGTAATTTGGTATGTGCACAAAAGCAAAGTTCTTAACAATAGAACATTCTGTGACGGTGCCATACTCTTCAAAAAGCTCACGCAACTCCTTATCTGTCACGTCTGGTGTCTCGTCTTGTCTTGATTACCTATTGTGTACACCTGGGATTCCCTTCCCTCATGTGTTTAAATAGTCCTCGTTTCCCCTTGTCTTGTGCGAGTGCGTCTAGTCTGTCTTGTCCTTCGTCACCCCCACGCCAGTTTGGCTTTTTGTCACAGTTTTGCCACAGCTTTGTCACAGTACTGTTAATCTTTATTTTGTTACTTTGTCATAGTTTTGCCTCAGTCTTGTTTGCTTTTTTAAAGGACCATTACAACACAAAATAGCCATTTTGACTTGCAAAAAATGTATTAAAGCCCAAATACTGTCATTCAAAGGGGATATCTGCCCAAATATGACTTGATTTAATTCAGAAGCATCTTATTTTAAATAGAACAAGTCCTTTTAAGGCAAAAATCACCTTTCTTCAACCACATTTGGCCTTTAATCAATTTCTAGCAGGGCGTTTTGACCTCAACCGACTTGCTAGAGATTTACATTCAGTCCTCAGGAAGTCCCATGGAGAATCTTCACAGGGACAGTGCTATTCATATTCTCAGGAGACAGGAAGGGGCCCCCATGTGGATTGGTCAATATTTTCAGCATCCAGTTCACTCCACAAGAAGCTACCCTAGGGCAAAGGAGCAGCACACATAGGCTGCTCTCTTGCCTATGTTTTGCATTTGTTCTTGCTTGAATGTTAGTAAGTCAGCAGCCTACATGTGCATCAATGTATTTACAACATAACCAAGACCAGTTATGCGGGACATTATGACTTGGTATGATTAAATGGGACATTATGTGGGACCAGTGGGACAACAGCCTATTGATGGAAAGCTATAATCTGCTAAATATAGTAAAATAACATTTTCTTACACATTTAGTTTAAATAAAAGTCATGTCACTAACCTACTCTCAATATGCTTATTTCTCATTGCTTTACAAAGTTAGAGAAGCAAGTGGCCTCATCTGAACTATGACTTTTAAGTCAAGCTCTGCGGTCATTATTTCTTAACTGTGACAGGTAAAAAAAAAACTCCCTGCCACCCAATAGGAGACTGGGAAAGAGTAGGTTTAAAGATACATTTTGAAACCCTGTCACATACACACATACATGTGTGTATGTAAACTTTAGCACAGGGGTTGAAATAAGTACCCTAAATGTAGTTCTCGGGGCTGTAGTAGTTATAATGCAATTTTTATATGATGTATATCATCGGTTTGTTTTTATTATCATTAGCTGGATCAGTAAAGAAAAGGTTAAAAATTGGTTTCAGGATCAACAGGAGATTCGTTTCCTAAATAGACCACTAGTTTCCTGCTGTTACAACTCCAGTCAAAAAGGTGTAGCTATATTGATAAACAGGAAAAAAATATTTATCAGTAATATTTATGAATATTACAACTGCAGACCCAGAGGGCTGATTTATAATAGTTAATATATCCATTAAAGATATGAAGTCATGCATTCTTGTACGTAGTCCAAATGTTGGCTCCTCATTTTCACATCACTCCAATCATTCAGATAAAACACTGCCCATAAGGACACGGTATTTGACTCAGCAGTGGACGGGCTCAGTTATACAGGGAGGCAGTGTAACTGGCAGTCTATCGAGATTGTTAAACAAAACATGAATGATCTTTATCTTTGATGCATGGCGCTCCCACTCTCAAGAATCACACATTTTTTCACAAATGCAGCAGCACTTTTCTGAGGGACATCTCAGACACCAGAATCTACCCCATCACCATCAGTGATCATGTATTGGTCTGTATCACTTTGATGAAAAGTAATAAAGTCTGAGAAAGAATAAGGAAGTCACATAACCATCTAGAAATTAGAGATTTATATATCATCACTTAATCTTCCTCTAGTGTTAACCCCTGTTGTTCCTCAAGTGGTGAACCTAAAAAAACTAATAAAAAAGGGAGGTTAAAAACCCTGAGTTCATTAATATCTATTACTACTCTATTTCATTTCAAAGTAATAAAAACACTCAAATTGGAATTAGAATGTAGAATTAAGTAGTCAGAGGAGGACTTTGGTGTTTACCCAGAGGAACACACTGTACAAAATAAAAAATCAAAGGAGGCAAGTATATCTGGAATAACTATGGCAGTCAGATAACTATTCTACTTGCCATGATGCTGGACAGGAAACAGGACAAATTTATCTTTATAATCATTGATTATATAACTGCTGTACATGGCTTTTTTAACTGTTTATTTGGATTCATGGAGCAACTAACGCATTAGTTGAACCACTAACACATTGTCTTCTTTTTGTAGAGGAATTTCCCATTTTACATATGAGAACCTTGTGCAAGACTGATGTGAATAGAAGTATTCAGTCATCTGTTCACCTGTATCTCTTTATAGTAATTTCTAATAACTTATTAGGAGCAGATGCCATCGGGGAAGGTGATAGAATTCCTAGCTTATATTTATATTCAGGTGGTTAATTTGTACAATATCACTATGCAGTCTAACATTTGAGATTTGAGTAAGATACATATATATTTTTTATCACAATACGTTTGGCCTACAATAGTTCCATAGAAGATAATAGTTTCCATAAAAAGATTTGTGGACATACTCTAAAGCTTTCCTAAAAAAGAAACAGTGGATTGAAAGGAAAAACTGACACACAGATGATGAGGTTTATCCAAGAAACAATCCTTATGCTCGTGCACCTAAAGCTTTTTTTAAAAATCCATGAAACCATGCAGGCTTTCGTTGATACTTAATTTCCATCATATCCTCTTCCTATTGTTGTTATGATCAGATTGGAGTAAAAACAAACAAAATGCAACACATATGTTGAACCTCCCTCCTCAAAATGTATTTAAGATAAATTAATGGTTGTTGAATCTCTTGTTAGAAATAAATGTTTCTTTATGCACATGGGTTCTGAAACCAAGACTCTGCTGCACTCTCGACTAGTTTGACTTAGTTTTCCTCATTTAGAGTCAACTTAAACACAGTTCAATTTCACCGAAAAGGGTTGTGTTTTTTGCGTTCAAACTTTTTATAAATGAGATATTATGATGTTAGTCTCATTCTAGCAGACTCATCACCATCTATGGTCCACAAAACACACACACACACACGTATATATATATATATATATATATATATAAGTACCTAATAGTAGGTTTAATAAAAGATATTCCAAAAATGCCCAATGTAGATTCAGATAATTGCGCTACAGTGGTTACATCCTCATGACTGAATGTAATGGTTTTAAATGTATCTCTTAAATATGACTCTGACATTGCTGTTTTACAACCAATGGTCCTTTTACAAATCCCAGACTGTGAGCAAGAAACTAAAACACAACATTTTAAGTCCATCCTTGCCTGAAATTGTCATGTATCCTACAAATTTACTGATATTTAACGATGAGCAGCCAAGGTGTTTTGTTTATTAATGTGGCTGTTGTATTTTACCCGTCAACAGAAAATTTACAGCTGGACATAATTCTTCTCTTGCTGTTATTGGTCCATTATGGTAACTTCCACACAAGTCTCTTGCTGTAAAGTAAATAGTAAGATTTACATTCCAGCTCGCAACAAGCTTGTATTCAATTAATAAGATATACTTTCAATTACAAACAATTTTGGGCTACTTTTTATGTGATTCCTTGGCTTATGATGATTATGTATTGGTTAGCGTTTTAATTGAACAGTTCATATTTTTGTTTAGACAAATAATAGTCTGATGAATCACTGGCAACAGTCTTAGAAGGCAGAATAACATAAGCAAATAGAGAAACTTACCAACCTGTCTTTAACAGTAATTTTCCATTTCCAAACTCTCAAGATCATGTTCCCATATTTTTGCTAAGTCTAAAATGGATAAATCAGATTTAGCTAAAACTGGCTGTGCAAGAAGTCATATTAAAGGGCTTATATTTTTGTAATTTAATAGAAATACAAAGTTTCACACTTAACTTTGGGTCAACTTCTGGTTGAGCCAAGAAACTTAAATGTGCAATAGAATAAAAAAATCTGGTGCAAAAATTGTATACCAAACAATGAAAAGTCCTTTATTGCCATCAGAACATGAGTGAGAAACCAGAGACAAAAAATTGTGTGAGGAATCAACTGTACAACCAACATTCATACATACATACACACACACAAACACGAAGCAGCAAGCACTCTTTCAAAAACTATGCAAGGGATACAGATACATGAGCGAATACAGTACTCACATGATGAGGTATAAAGGCAACCACAAACATACCAGATACAGCTCTATTCGCACTCATGCAGTTGAACCAAGGTACAAATACTCGTTCATTCTCTAAAACACAACATGGGCAGAAATGTACACCAGCAGCATCTGGGTCATTTCAAATAAATCTTTCTCCTAATCATCTGTCTCTCAAACCTTTGGTCACGTATACGCTTGCTAGTCACGCACAATGATGCCAATGGGTTTAAATACTTATTAATTGGAAGGAATACATCCCTTCCTGACTTGTGTCCAATGACAGAATGTGGGATATTCAGGACAGATGAACAGAAGGAAAATGTTGATTCAGTCACAAATAAAGTTTGTTTCTACCAAAGGCAGAGCTTCTACGTTAGTTGGACATTCAGTGTGTACATTAGCAGCAATTCTAGTGAATAAACAATGGCTTTGTAAGTCAGATGAATAACACCCTTTTCCTCATGCACAGGACAGGCACCAACCACTCAGTAACTAAATGCCATGCAAGTTAGAAAAATGGACTGGCAAACTCACAAGACAGAGAAATCAAAGTTCGTCTCAACAGAAGAGGTTGATTTCACTTCAATGTTTTATTTAATATTTTCTAAGATGTGGAAATAGCAACAAAAAAATTGAGAGCGTTTACCAAGACAACAGGAACAACATGGGTAGAGAGCCACTGAGGTTTCCAGTCCGCCTCTTACTCCTTATGTCAATCCAACCTGCCAGGTACAGGACAGACGTTGTTTGTTTAAGGTTTTCTTTTTCAGTCTTCCACTTTGCGCCATGCGGGAAACCGCGTCCACTTGCTCGTGCGCTGTGTACCTGTTAATCTGGGTCTGTGTGTGGCTCTCATTTCAATTTGACGCTGTCCCAATCCTATATTTTGCAGTCTCCAGGCCCTCTCCCATTAGCAACACCCATCACAGAAAAAGTATTTTCCCTCGTGTGTGTGTCCAGAGCTGCGTGCTGCAGTTGTTTATCAAGACACGAGTGTGGCTGAAAGCTAGCACCGCCACCCCCTCTGACACAGAGAAAGAGGCACGGTATAGATTTTTTTTTTGTCTAAATCTACAGTTCAAGTTTGCCGTCTGTCTGGTAACACCGTGTCCCGTTAACAAGGATGCGGAGGTGCAACCTTAGACCCTCGAAAGACCTAAAACGGGCAAAGAGGAAGAAGCGACAAGTCAACATAAGAGCCCTTGTTAAAGAGCCTTGGGCTTTGTTACGCCTTTAAAAAAATTTTTTTAGACCTGACCTTATCGGTTTAGTTTTTGCGGTTGCCAAATGTCTCAGCTGTGCACATGTGTGCTTGAACATAGCACACTCCGACCCCCAATACAGTCCATTCTAAGTGGAATAAGGACAAGCTCCATGAATTTTGTTTGGCACCAGTCTTTTCCTTACGTTAGCCAGTCACATCCTCCATTTCCGGATCATCTTATCACTTCTCAACTCTTGGAACAGGTCTGTTCCCTCCATCAAACAAACAAGAAAAAAAAGACCCTGGAAGAATATCCTCTTCTTCCTCTGAGGAAAAAAAAAATCTTTATGGAAAAAATATTTTTTTAATTTTTTTCTTTTTTTCAAATTCAAGGCACAATGTCTATCATTTCACTCACAGGCTCCAGGTTCCCTGTTGAACACCCTGTCACGTAAGTAAACGGTCTGTCTGAACTGTCTGCTCATATGCCAAACAAAACCTGCAATGTGACATTTATCTCATTAGCACTTTAACAATGAAGGCGCATTCTGTCTTGGTTGAGAGAGCAACTGCCGAGTCCAAACCAGTGATAAACAATGAACAAAAATAACATCAACATAAAAGAGGACACAAAGACAACCGTTTAAAAAAAAAAAAAGAAAAAGTCTTGTCCTGTATCTCGTGTTTCGGTATTTTTAGAAATCAAGTCATATCCACCAGCTCTTTTTTGGCAAGCTAGTTGTGTTTTAAATAAGCACTAAGTACTGATAGATAGGGTAGCATACACCGTTAACGTTTTTTTAAGAAGATGCGTTTGTCGTTTTTTTTGTAGTTTTTCACTCTCATAGTATGAACTCAGGTATTTTGTCAGATACTTTTCACTCATCTGTTTAAGGTTTAAGTTAATGCAAGCAGGGACAGAGTTTGCCATGGAGTCTTGCTCTAGAGTTGGGTTTGTGAGGGGCAGGGGCCGTCTCTTTATGAGACCCCATTGACCAGGGTCAGCGTCTCGCTGGCTGAGGTCATGCCTTTGCTTGGGGAACGCTTGGAGGGTGTTTTTTCGTCCTTCTTGGCACTAGTGCCGTTCTCCTGTGGATACAAACAGTGGGAATAGTAAACCAATAATTTAATTTGTGTCACTGAGATGAATTTGTCTAACAGTGTCTGTACCTTGGGTTCAGAGGCAGCGTGGTCTTCCCTCTGGAGCACGTTCTGTCTGCTCTGAGACTCAGGACGGGATATGTAGTCAGCAACTGTCACTAAAAACATTCAAATCCATTAGCCAGACCCCCCACAGAAGATTCCAGGGAGGAGAAATCTAATGGGCTTTTCCACAAGTACAGACTCAGCATGGCCCAACTTGGCTTGATTTTTAATCTTTATTTTCATTTCTATTAGGGACTGGTGCCTCCTAAAAGTTCAAATTTTCATTCCTACTTGGCCAAGGTCCCAAACGGGCTTAGTTGGGCTGATGGCAGATTGTTGGCAGCCCATTGCCCATAGAGTCAGGACTTGATGAGTCATGGAAATGACTCCTTTATGACAACCTTGTCTATTTTAAAAGCATGGCAAATTTCTAATAAATGATTCTTCTGTGATCATCAACGTTGTAAATGCCTAATATATGAATCAACACCCTTGTTCATCTGGTATATCGTCACCAACATGTCCTTCATTGTTGTCTCATGTTTGTGTCACATACAAATTTTGTCATCTGCTGTTCGGGTTGTCTTTCTGACTTATTTCTAATATGAAATTATCTGAACTGAGCATTGGGAAGGGAAATTAGGTTGAGCAGGTTCAAATGGAAAAGCCTCATATTAAGCTTTAAGGCTGGACTTACCATTTTCCCCAGTTTGTCTTTCACGGCTAGCAGACCCTCCATCTTGGCGGTTGCCACGATTACGGCGGCGGCGGCTTCGGTTGCGGCGCTGAGGTCGGGCCTCTTCATCTAACAATCAAATAAGGAAAAATGGAATGCTATGACTTTGCAGGCATGGACATTTCGTATGTACATCAAAGTATTAAACAAAGAAGTTGAAATCATAAAAACTGAGGCTCTCACCAAGCCCATTCTCACTGGGGCCAGCCTGGTTGTCTGACTCTACAGCAGCGTCCATGACACTAGGCTCTTGATCGTTGCGACGACGCCGGGATCGTCGTCGGCGTTCTCCTCCCACGCCTTCACTAACATCTGCATCAGCCAGCTCTCCTTCCCCCTCCAGCAGAGAGTAAGGGTTACTGTCTGGGTCCTTCAGCACTGGAAATGTTGCAAAGAAATCATATCACAATCTGAACCTGCTCTGTTTAACACTACTACAACTACTACTACTTAAAGTTGTAGTAGTAATTGAAATGTTAAATATACCCACCAACTATTATGCTCCAAGCTTTGTTTATCATCTTTATTTCAGGCTGAGAAGAGGTAACTTTAGTGACGGTTTCCAATTCTTTTTTTCTCAGTTTAATGCATAGATATTGATATGATTTTTTGTCCGAGGGCCACATTTAATCTGTAAACCCATATTATGTGACAATTTTGAATAAAAAAAACCCCACAAATACCACAATCAGTTTATTCTTATAATATTTCTGCCAACATTCATATGTTTTTAGACTGGCAAATAGAATTTCAATCTAAGAAGATGTAGCATTTTAGCAAGGATACTAATGTAATATCCAGATCACTCCACAATGCTTACAAATAAAAATATATCAAGTATTACCTGAGCTGATTGAGTTGGAAGGCTTGGATCCAGTCCCTCCACGGCCTCTTCCTGAAGTGGAGCCTCTGCCCCTGCCACCTCTTCGAGAGCCTCTCTCATCACCACCTATTCCACGGGGCCTCTGGTCTCTCTCAATAATATCCTCTGACTCAGAGGCATTAGAGAGTTCAGAGTTTGTGCCTGCATTAATTCAAAATATAACTTTAACAAACATTTTAATCATTTTAAACATGTGCTCAAGTTAAAAACATATTAAAATGTAACAAAGTTTCAATTTTACCGTATCCAGAGTACTGGCTGTTGGAGGCCCTGCGTCCTCTGCCTCGGCCCCCGTAGGTACGAGAAGTGTGGAGCGAGTTGCTGCTCTCATCTGTCATGTAGCCTTTCTCCCTGTCAGTACCGGGTCCCCCAGTTCGGCTCGGTGGAGCACGGTAACCAACCCCAATCTGGCGAAGCTGCTCGTCAATCTGGAGACGCTCAAGACGCAGTTGTTCCACCTCCTTTAAAATTGACACTGGTTTTTATTTATGAACTTTCTTTTTGGGGAAAATGTTGATTATGTTAAATGTGTAATACAGCTAAAAAAATAAATAATAAAAAAGGCCACTATTTTAAAAGATCAAGAACGGTCATTAATAGCAAAGATGCTTTGAAGTTACAATGAAGTATATTTATCTTCCCTATTCTTAGGCGAAACCAAATAACAATTCTAAATATGACACTTTTGTCTGAAGTGGGATAAAAAAATTGCAATTTACGAAACTAAAAAAAGGTGGAGTTTAAAAATACAAAGTAAGCCGTGGACAACTTAATTACACACAGTATTAGGATGTATTTCACAAAATACATTTTTAGGATTGGTGAAAAAAGAAAACAGAAATAGCAAACACTTTCTAAAATTGGACTTAGTCACGTAGCTCAGAATTTAAATATTTTGTAATGATTGTATTTGAAAGCAAAAAGCTAAATCAAATAAATGTGAGAAGAACATATTGTCAGTCACTGTTAAAAAAACTAAATAAAAATTAAAAAAGTGTGGAGTGAGGTAAACTAAGCAACAACAATGTATAAAAAAGTGTACGATTTAAACCTGTACTTCTATCAGAATCACTAATGATCAATGGTGTTATTATGCAAAGCTGAGCAGAATGACCTTGCCCAGGGGTTTGAGAGTTCATGCATAAGAAAATAATCGTACTAGTAAACGACTGCAACAACAAGCAACAACATGCTAATATACCTCAAACAAGTCAGAATGTGAAGGCTGAGAACAAATATAACCACCCACAAGGAGATTGCTGATGAAGAATCTGTGATAGTTACTATCTCCGACTTGACCAATAGATGTCAGCATTTGCCATGCAGAATACCATTCACCCACACAAGCAACTAATAAGTCAATGGAACCAGTGCCTCACTCCTAACATCACTGATGCTTAAAACAAACTTGTCTCTTTCTTAATTAAAAAAGAAGAAAATGAATCGAATCATTGTGGAATTTAAGAGGGCGCATTAAGTAAGACAGACTATCCCATGTTTATCTACCAACAGCCATGGCACTTTCCAAATTTGCTTGGAAAAAGAAAAATCACTCATGTATCTGTTCTAATATGTATACAGCCATCACTTTAAATACTTTTATCTATAGGAAGGATTACAATTTATTTATCTATGGTCAAGGAAATTGAGAAGTGGCGTTTAATAGTAGCGGCCCTGACTGCAGCTTTTTGGAAAAGGGGTTCCCTCCTTCAGTTGACAGCTGAATCCACCAATGACAGCTGAGCCTTAAGGGAGGTGTGAGGGCAGCAAGGGAGGGGGATGGATGCTATTTTTGAAAGCAAAGGGTTCAGATAGCTGGTAATCTATACTCCAGTGTACCCTTCCACCCAAAGTAGATAGAAGCTATTTAAAAAAGCCCATGAGGTAAGGGCAAAATGAGGCACTCTCAGCAGGTTCTCTCGTATCGTACATGGCAGGGGACCAATGAGACCATGCACATGTGCCAATCTAGTTGGGATTACCAATACATTTGTTCAACCTGAAATTTAGTTTAAGTGAAAAAAGTCTGAAATATAAAACAAATATTTCTATTTTCGAATAACAAAAACAGTGCCGCCATCTGGTGGTGAAAATGGAAATCAACCCACCTGAAGATAGGACACATGGTACTCCAACAGAGCCTGTGCATTGCTGATGTTCTCTTTAGTCCCCACAAACACAAAGGGGACCATGCCCTGATAAAAAAAAAAAAAGGAAAAAAAAAGAAGAGGTAAAAGAAAAAATTGTAATTTGCAACATTCACTGTGTGGGGACAATGAAAGCTCAAGTGTTAATGTCACAACAAGACAAACAGCAATAGAATGGACATTACATGAGACATTTACTTCCTTCTATCCAGCCTTGCAACTGGAGAGCAGAAGGGTAGGTTGGTTGGGTGGTTAAAAGGGGAGTGGGAGAAGAGTTGAACAGTCCATTCACCTCTTTGCTGGAGGTAGTGTCGTCTCTGCCAGCCCCCTGCCTTCCTACCTCCTCCCGGGGAAGCTTTTTGTCATTATCTCCTTCGATCCTGACACGCACCACGCCTGACTTGTCCACTATTTCCTGGATGACTTTGCCATTTTTGCCAATGACTTTGCCTTTGCAAGAATAAAAATAAAAAACATACACAAGAAAAAGATGATTTAGAAAAAAGGAATAATCATCAAAGAGGAAGGGAGATGTTGCCGCCAACTAAATGAGACAAAAATTTTAAGGTCCTCACTCACCGACAAGATTCCTGGGTACCTGAAAGTAGTCTTCTTTAAACTCAAGATATTCTCTGGCCTGTTTCACTGCTTCTGGAGTCTGAAAATTGGAACAAACGGTGTTTTAAGGAAAATTTCCTTATAGTGATAAGCGCAAACAAGCCCTCATATTCATCCAGTGCCCTACCTCTCCATAGATCCTGAATGTGCAGCTCTCCTCCTCCAGTTCAATGGCTGTAACACCAGGCACCTTCCTTGCCTGCTGGATGTTGGCACCATGAGAGCCAATGGCGAGGCCCATCAGGTCTTCTCTTACTCTTACCTCTTCTTGGTATGCTGACGCTAACTGCTTACTTGTCTAGGAAGAGAAACCACAGAGATGAGTTGTTTGCATGTCCTTTACAACAACCAGGGATGGAGAACAACAAAGTGTAGGAAATAACACAAAGGCCCTTATTTTTTTATTTTTTATTTATTTTTTACTGTGAAGCAGTCAACATAAAGAAAACAATGAGCCACTTACATATACAGTAAGTCGAGTCATGGTTTGGATGCTTGATTAAAGAAATATCCATGTCTCAGTAGGCATGGGCTGGTATAAGATTTTTATGGTAGGATAACCTTAGGCAAAAAATATGATTTCACAGTACAACGATTACAACTCTAAAATTTGTTATTTTAAATAGTCCGCATAGATATAAAAAATAAACACTTTTCCATTGAACTGTTTATTTTCAAACAATACATAGAACATGGAACATTAGAAAGATGTATTTATAATGTGAAGAAGATTATATATAAAGAATTATGTGCATTCAATAATTTAATTTTATCTTATTGAATGCTGTGAACAATTTGAAAAGTGGTCAAGGCCTTCTGTTGCTTTAAGTTTCTCTATGCAAGATCATCATATTCATAATTAAGACTAAAAAAATTAAGACTTTCTAAAAGTCAATGCTATTAAAAAATCTGGAACAGTTGTCATCTCACTAAAGTAACCAATGTAACGATGAGGACAGTTTTATCTGGAATTGGGAACTGCTGTCTTTACAAAATGATGATAAAAGATGGAAATCTGGTGTATCTACATCCATATAAGGTAACATTAGCATGCGCAAGAGTAAGCACACCTGTAACTGCATTATCTGGATGTTTGGAAAAGCTCTGTATTTTAGATTTTATGTCAAAATCAACATCTTTATATGCATTTTAAATATCCTATTTTTGTCTCAGTAATACAGCAATTAATTTCTTTTCCCGAGTGTGATGGACACTTATCATCCATATCATGTCAAATGTGAGTGTTTACCTCCAAATGTTTCGTGGCTTCCTCATTACGTGACATAAGTATAAGCTTGGTACGGATGCTTCGGAAATGCATGTCACTCAGGAGACCAGCACGCTTTATTGTTGTGTCATTTGTAGACTGTTAAGAGAAAAAAACAAACAACCAGAGAAATAAGCAACAAATGAGTTATGTAATGAGTTAAGTGAAGGGCTTTGGAGACTAGATAAAATTTGGAGCTTATTATGAGCATAAAAGTCAGTTTACTTGTTCAAGGAGTGTAAAATCAGGGTACTAACCAGAACAATGAGTTCGTGCGTTTGGGCACTGTAGAAGATGCAGTTTGCTCCAATTGCTTTCCTGAAGTCTTTGTGAATATTGTCGTTTACACAGCTGCCCAATAAAAAAAAAAGTTAAGACCATGTGAGGAAACAATCATGTACAACCTTAAAATAAGTACAACCTAGAAATTGCATGAAACTTTAACTCACATATCCCTCAGGTCTTCTGGGACAGGAATGGGGACCTTGTGAAAAGTGTTTCGAGAGGAAGGGCTGTTGGGGTTTACAGGTCTTATGCGTTCTGATGTGACAATCTCATTGTATGTGGCGTCGCATGCTGCATATTCGATAACGTAGAACTGAAAACAACATAGTTCAAGACATTACACTTCAGTTGTATTAGGTTACATTTTAGCCACTTCAACAATTCATATGTTATAACACTTCTTTTCTTACAATTAACTGCCTCAAAATGATCTTGATTGTTTGATATTACGGTTCCCTACTTATCTCGGTAAATGTAGCAACCTATAAACAGCTGATCAAAACTACAGTCAAAATAATTCTCAATTCCTGTTGTTTTAACGCAAATATAAGGTTTAATTTAATTCATATGAGATTTATTTTCCATATATTACAGTTATGTGAAATAAGATGTAATGGCAACCAAAAATAAATAAATAAATAAACTGAAATGTTTTCATATTATATCCTCCTGAAAAAACCTTGACATGTACTTAGAGTGGTTTTCCATTAACTTCTATCACAACTTCAGTGAAAATAATTTGGGAGTTTTGGTAAGGAAAAAAAGACGAAGAGCTATAATTTTAAGTAAATCTGATGTATCATAGCAAATGTTATAAAAAATAAGAAAAAAAAGTAAATGGGAAGACAATGACAGGGTTAAACAACATGAATATAATGTCCTCTGTGGGTTAAGGGCAACTCATAGAATTCAGTAAAAAAAAACACAAAGAAAAACTGATATCCTAGGGTATTTCCCTATCAGAATAACGCTCAAACGACTTCAATTCAAGTCTGAATTCAAACCATCAATCAGTGACAGAAATTTCTACGGGATTTAATCAGACTGATACAAATAATATCCCCACACCAATAGCAGCCTCTCTGGCACATGAGGATAAAAAATCTGTCCTCTTAATATCCGGCAATCTCAGCCTGCAGACTGAGATGTCATACTGGTTAGAACAGTCTGAAAATATTCTTTTGTCAAATCTGGGCCTGGATGGTGTGTTTAAAAAAAAAAAGCGGAATAAAGGTGAAACAGCATGTATAATAAACATTATCCAGAAATAGAATTTCAGACTCAGTAAGCACATATTGACATTGACATATTTCAGCTTCAAGATCTGAGCTCGGAACAAAAATCAATTAAATTCTTGAAAATGATATGTGTAGATCACTTGAGTTGTTCTTTGTAGATTCACATTATATTGCTATATGGCTTACGGTATTTTAATGGAGACATCCACACGTTGAAAAAAAGCATGAAGACTCATACAAAAACAAACTTTGAAAATCTACAACATGTTATATTGTTTAAAAAATTTGGACTCAACTACTGCTCACCTCTCCCTTCATCATCCTGACTCGCGCCAGCCACCATCCACATGGCTCCTGTTCGTTGGCCCTGGAGTAAACCTGCAAGGAGATGTACAGTGAATGAAGGCTGGAGTAGAGATACAACAATTCAAACAGATTAATATGTTTTAATAACAGGGTTGGCTTAGCCTTCATTTTACAAAAATGTTTGCAGTAATCAAAAATTGAGAAAGTCTCAAAAACAATTATTAAAAAAATCCACTACTGAAAAACGATTTGCCAAAACTATTTGGGCACTGTGATATAAAACTTAAATGTGTATTCTATTAAGCATCAATACATGCAAACTTGGAATTGTTTAACACAGACAGTGCCATCATTCAAATAAAATATTCATATGGATATAGGATTTTTTAAGGGCTAAAAATAACTTTTAAATGGTTAAGAAATCATTTAAAATCAATGTCCAATGACGGTACAGTATTTTTTAGAACCAGCTTTATAGCAGAAAGTTTCAAGTCACATTTTCTATATGATCTGTTTATTTACAATACTTTGGAGACATTTTGGCCCAATCTTCTCTAAAGAAAAAAAAATCACATGTTTTCAGCTTTTGGTAAGGTTCTTCTACAGGATTGCAATCAGGTCGAGGTCTTTGATTGAAGAAGGAAAACTGGTGTTTTAATTATACAGATATTCTATAGTAGCTTGTTGTTCTGTTTGGGATCAGTCTCCTGTTGCATGACCCAGATTCAGACAATCCTCAAAATTGACTAAAGAATGCTTAACTGATGTGTCAAAGGTGGATTCGTTAACTGCAAGATATCCAGGTCATTTTGTAGAGAAGTGGTTTTCTTTAGCTACTCTTCCAAGTAAGCTACATTCATCAAGTCTTTTTCAGACAGTACTCTCATGAACTTTAGCAATTTGAATGCAGGCCATATGTAGGGTTTAAAGATGGGTTTAGTTTTACCACACAAATCTTCAGCATTTTGTCACATAAACAATTTAATATAATAAAACTCTTTGGTGTTCATTCAAAGAGTTATTAAATTTGAAGAACTCATAAGGACCAAATATGTCACAACTAAGAATTGTTTCCCTTACATAGGATTGTGGATGCAAAATTGCAGACCTTACCTCTACCTCTTCACCTTCTCCAATATCTTTATGATAGTCGGCTGGAGGAGGCAATCTTACGTCGCTAAAGGGCAGCTGTCTTTCTGGCTGCCAGCTAGGACAATATGACACACAAATCAACTACTTATAGCCTTGTCAATAAAAATTTGAAATAATAAACATTTAAATAAAACTGGATGATAAATGACTGTTTTCATTGTATGTCACCCTTTTTTGTTAAGAATGTTTTTCAATTTTAAATGGTAAATCCTTTCATTTGACTATATTTTACCTACAATCACTACCGATATCACCAAATCTCTCGGTTTCATTAAACATGTTGGATATAAAAGCACTTTTTCTGTGGCTATAGAACAAAAAGTTGCAATTCCCTCATTATCTTATACAACCAACACCATGTGCTCAGAGAAAAAGGAGAAGGAAAATGACTTATGCCACCATACTGTTCCCCCTCCCAATTCACATATCTTGGATCACTATTTTTAGGAGGCCTTTGCTCTACACTCTGGGCCATGCAGATATAAAGGGACCAACGAGAAGGGTGGAAATGTGGGGGGAGCTAAAAGAGACAGTAGGTTGGCCTAGGAGTAAAAGAAATCATGCCACATTTATGGCAGGGACAGAAGGGGGTAGAGCAAGAGGTTTAAAAACTGTAAGAGACATATGTGGACAGCTGTATCCTGAGCACAGGTGCTGAGGAAGAAAATTTAAATGCCTAAGGCACAGTCCTCATATTTCTCATTTACTACAGTTCAAGCTTGGTGTCATCCATGTTAAGACTATTCATCACTATGCAGACTACGAAGATACCAATAAGTTAACATAATGAGCAAACTTACTTGTTTTCAAACACAATTGTAAGAGAGTCTTCATGGACATCTTTGATAAAACCCTGAAAGAAGAGCAAAGAGGAAAGAAATTTACTCCCATGCATGCAGAAAGCTTAAGAGATGAGGTTGTCTGATTTTGCATGTAAACAAAACTGACAGTTTGTTTTTACGCTACACAATACAAGTTATGTGAGTGCTACTGGAAAAGATCAATTAGGACCTTCTGAAGCGCCAAGGCATCATATCGCGAACACAATAAGTCTGGCTGTGATTTCTGTGCCTGATAGTGACAAGAAACAGTGACTGACTTCTCCTGACAGCTCAGACACCCTGAACATTTACTTACAAAAAACAGGAATAAAAATGCGTGAAAATCGGAAAACACTCATTTTAAGGCCAGTGTATTCATGACACTACATGTACGACGCAGGTAAACTTGTATTCCGCCTATCTTATAAGGATTGATTATATAGAGGCCGACTGATTATGAAATAGATTACTTGAACATGTTACTTGACCACAAATCAGTCCCATCATGCCATGAGACATATGAAACACCTCCTTTGCTGAGCTGAAAGTGAACTGGGGAAAACTGTTGGGCGTGGCATGTAGCTCTGGGTGACACTGCCATATATAGGACAGAGAGGTCCGACAGTATCTTCAGCTCCTGCTGGTTGGGGGGGGGGGGGGGGGGCAGGCATTGAATCACCTATCACCTGTTGGCTTGATGCTGGGAAAGCTGGTCAAGGTTTGTTCTGGATCAGCGGTAATGGCTGTGTTCACTGTTGGATTTTTACACTTTGTGTGCAACAACTTCATCGTCCAAACATGCTCTCATCCTTTCAAACAGTACCAGTGATATTCAATGTTCTTCTATTGAACTCATCAACAACCGTATTTTCAAAACTGTACAGGAATGAGAGAAATGCTGGACCTGGAAGAACATGCATGTTCTTCCAGGTAATACAACCGTATTTTCAAAACTGGTCTTCCAGTTTTGAAAATACGGTTGTATTTCATTGACCACCCCTCTGGCCATCAACATCTTGATTTAGGAAAGAGGACAGCTATACAGCCAAGTAGGTAACAAACTGCCAGTCATAAGGCACACACATTATATGTTGTTGCATAAGAAGACTGCAACATTTATGTTAAGAAACATGAATGAAAGCTTCATCAATTGTCAATGAAACAGACATGAAACTTTGGATTTCTTCCAAGTTTGACAAATTTAAAATTATTTTAGATGTTAGAGATACCTTGATTGTCAGCTTTTCCAACAAAACATCTTCTGAAACCACACAGAACTATCAGGTTTTGAATTGCAACTGAAAGCACAACAGTGTATTATTCTAATACTTTGAGAGTTTTACACAGTACTCAAAAGCTTTAATTCTATAAGTTTTCCCTTATTTGAAATTGCAAAATGTTTACTCAGGAATAAAGAATGTGAGATGTTTGATCATTTTCTCCTGCACTTACTATACCATTAAATGAAAGCTGTTTCTGGCTGACCACAATACAAAATGCATATTTGAAGTTTTTAGGAAACGCCTACTTCTCAGACACAAAAATCAACAGAATTTTATTTTAAAAGATTTATAGCTCCTATGTTGGCAGGAAATCCCTCTTTACAACATTACATAAATGCTGGAAAGATACACGCAGAGAAGTAAGAGAAACTCCTTGATGACAAGTCAGCAACGTGTTGGTCCACATGAGAACTGAGGCCTAGGCACCACCTTTTTATCTTTCCTGTCAAATCAGGAATTTTCTGTTTCTTCTTTAAACCAACATCTTGAAAATTAATATACAAGACTTCAAAGAAGAATCTATAAACATAAGATTTTCTAACTTTGTAAATGTAGTATTTCTTCAACATATACATTAGTACAATCCTCATTCATATCAAACAGAGAGTGACAAAAAGACTGAGTTAGTGTTGCTAAAAAAGATTGCCAAAAATTTAATTATTTCAGACCGACTATGAAATTATGGCAAAACATTCTTCGTGTCCCCCACTTATTATAAACTTGAACCTGTAAAATGGCAGATGAAAACGTCACCAAAAATGTTGTTTATGTGTCATGTACAAAATGAAAGCTGCGGGATAACAAGCACAATGGACTTTAACGGAAAAAGGCTCATTCACGCCAGTCACACTGTCACCCTGTAAAACAGAACGACAGGTGAAGCAACTTGAGAGTAAATATAGGACCACCACTAAACTGTGGTGTAGTAGGCTGCCCAACTGAAAAGTTGAAGACTAAAAACTGATACGTAAATGCACAACATTTAACATATTAAAACAAAGGCTTCACCAATGCTGGTAATTTTGGTATCAAAACACGTCATGTTCACTTGGAGTCCCATATTGACAACTAGCTAAAAAAACATCCCTGCTCATGAGATACACTCTCCATGCAAATTTAAATTCAAAATCGATTTTTTTTTATCACAAAGTTGAATTATAACGTGTCCCATAGTGACACAGGATAAAAACGAAATAAAAACGATTTTTTAAGTATAGTTTCCTCTGCAAATCAGACAGAAAGGAAACAGAAACGGTTAATGTTCAGGAGTTTTTTGTCAGTTAAAAACCAGAATGGCTTTGGTATATCCGTAAAACCTTTGATAATTTCTTTGGATATTTTCGAGATTAAGAGTTTTGATGAAGCATGTGTCACATCACAAAGGCTTAAAGAACAGCTGGTCTGGTTAGCAGTCGGCTCTTGTTTAAAATGCTTGTATGCCATGGCAAAATCATATGTTTTCAGACATGAAACGTACTATGGAAATGATAAGGGGACCTTTTCATTACAACATAGACAGCGATCACACAAACACAATCTTATGACTTACAAATATAGGCCATACATGATGACAAGTGAGTCTAGCTTTACCGCTAACTCCTGCTAGCTGCTCACCCTACCACGGCCATCCTTGATGGAATATTTAACTACCTCTACTCATCATGACCAACCCAATGCTAACTCAGTATTGATCTATCTGCTCCAAAAAATGAAAATGACGTCAATTCAGAATAGTTTTTAACTGAAAAGCCAGGATACTATGCCTTCATAGCCAGGTTACCTTGTAGAAGGCCCCATTTGAGCCGCGAACTTCCACGGCCAGCCCGTCCATACTTGTCGGTAGATCCCCACGGCTAAGTTTGTCTGTAGCCGTTATGACTCCCTCTGGGTCCGGTAAGGTTACCACCCCCAGCTTCGCCGGCCCTTCGCCGCTATCTGGTCGCTTGTGGATTTCCAGTGTTTCGAGTAGAGGAAGAGGGGCAGAGGTGAAGGGGTTGGGGAGATGGGTGTGATGGTGTCAACTAATGCAACGCAGACGCTTTCTCCAGCAACCAGTTGGGGGGAGTCGTTGTCTGTTTAGTCTGAATGTGTGATTTAGAACGAACGACCGGAGAGGCTCCGTCACGAGTAGTTGCTGAAGTGTCGACGTGCGCACGGAGGACAGCCAGGCTAAATGATGCTACAACAGGAGGATGTTAGCTGATGGATACTTAGCTAGGAGGCTAGCTATCAACACCTTGATTTCGTCAGCTTTCAGGGATGCTAGCAGGCTAGTTTTTGATAGCCTTGCCTTGCGTTTGTTGGTTGTGCGACTGGCGCAGTCACTGGGCTGAACAATTGCACATAAGTCGTAACCGTGAATCGCTTCGGTAGTCTGCAGGTGTAAATTTCTGTGGTGTCTCTCTCCCCAAAAGCGTTCAAAATAGAGTACCGCCCGGCGACTCCTTACACTGGCCACCCGTCCCCTCAACTCACCGATTGAGTGAAGAGAGACTGAATGACCTGGAACACTCCACCCCTACAGAAAAAAACCCGCCCAATACAAAATTCTGCCTTATAATTGGTCAAAAGTCTTGACAATCAATTATATTGCCATTCATTGGTTTAGAAAAGAGGGGCCAGTCCATAAACATGACCAATGGAATATAGACAGTTTCGTCCTAACACAATCAATAGGTTTCCTTCTGCGTCTGTTATAATTTCAGTTGAATTGACTGGCTCTCAGTCTAAAGTTTGCCCACTCATTGATGAATACGGAACACCATCTATTGCGTGAACATGTCTCCACCGTAGTTACTATTTGTACGACAATTTAACAAAAAGTTACATCGTTGCAACACAAGATAAAACATATATCTTTGGGGAGATTTTGCGCTTAATTTGGTAAATCTTTTCAATTTGGGTTGCCCTACCAGACAATAGCCTTACTTCAATACAAGGGGAGTAAGGAAACCACTATAAAAAAAGCAGGGAAATGTTGTGCTACCTAACAGCTCAAATGCTGAACCAAGCAGCCCAGATAAGGACAAAGACTGTTGCATGGAAACAGCTGGGAGAGGATGAAATAAGAGAGCAGGGGTCAAAGGGGGAAGGCACTTAGTCACAATATGAGAGAGAAAGTAGATAAGACATTGCGTGTTCAGTTATTTGGCCTATTTCTAACCAGTTTGTATTTAAAAAACTTTAAGATCCATACTATGAACACCGACACAATAAACGTAGAACTTCCTTGACGGCAAAAAAAAGTTGCATTACATATACAACTTCATTCTTCGTTGCGTTTTTATAAGTGTCATTATATTTGAATTGGGGTAGCAAAATTGGTAATGCTATCTAGTTTGGCTTAGTTTCCATGGCAGGAATACTTTCCTTTATATTTATCTTTTCAATAACACATATTAATGAATGTCAACAAAAATGAGTTTCCCTTCCACTCAAATTTGCTCTGTGTTCGCGATCGTGGCACACGCTTGAAGTTCTGTTACTGCTTGATTTTGTCTGAGTCACGTGAGCTAGTAAGCCAATAAACAGGCTTATTACAGAAAGCGCGCGCAGCATGATCGAGGAAGTACCTCTACCGTTTTCATGTAGCATTAGTAAATGTAAAATTTAAGCAATATTGGCGCTGTTTTGCTAATAAAGAACACAGGTAAACTGAAAATGTCCTTCGGCTCCGAGATTACCAATACCTTATTACTCGGGAAAGACGAGATATTGCATCAACAGGGTAAGATTTTTCGCATTTTGCTACACTTTGACAACGAATCGTAACACTAAAAGCGTGATTAAAACATCGTTTATTAAGGGTTCTTTCTAGTTTAATGTTTAATCGATATCCTTAATTAAATGGGGCCAGTTTAAATATATACAGCTAAAATTTTAATTAGGGTTGTCGTTGAAATAGAAACCCCTTTAGGTTTAATTGGTTTAGTTTGAGATAGCTTTTTTGTATCACGGTATTAAGTGGTTTACTTACCTAAAGCAATATTTCCATACAGTTCTTGCCTCCTTCCCATTGTGTGACGTGACAGAAGAAGACCTGACCCAGAACCCATTATTCTGTAAACTCCTGGCCAGTTTGACGCAATATGTGGATAAAACTGGACTGACTGTCCCAGTAAAGACAGAACTGGATAAGGTATTTTTATTCATTAACTCTTCCAATTTTTAACACCCAAAAGTCAAATTGACTGAAGTTGAATGAAAAAAGGTGGCTAACATTGGAATTTAATTAACATTCCTTTTGGGTTGTTCCATGTTCCAATACAACATGAATCAAAGTTACTCCTATTTTATTACTCAGTAAGCACTGTGATTTAATGATTTGGCCACAAGAAAGAAGAGACTTGGAGCAGACTTATTTTTTCTTGCAGAGGTCTGAGCTATATATGTCACTGCTTCTCTGCAGGCTGAACAGAAGCTCCATAGTCAGATACATCAGTGGCTCTGCTCTGAAAGCCTCCAGAGAGGGCTGCAGGAGATGATCCAGGACAATTGCGTCAGGAAGCATCATACTACTGTACCCCCTGATCAGAGTATGGTAAGTCAACTGCTATCTCTAAATAATTTACAGTATATAGTCCTTAACATATTTATTAGACCACAACGGTCGTAGATTAATGCTACAACTGTCATATTCTCATTGGTACCAAACTAATTATTTTATGTTTGTGTAATTGTTTATAGACCAGTGTGTGAGAGATCATCTCCAACCCTAACTTACCCTGTACCTTCCCAACCCCTTTAGTACTTTCTGTACTTCCCTCTACCTGTACACTGTCACAACTGTTACCTCTAACATGTTGACCAGTGATTTCCCTCTAGGTAGCTTATTGTAGGGTTGGTGTAATGTTGTATCAGCTTTGCAAGTTCTTCTGGATAAAAGTGTCTGCTAAATGCATACACATGCATACTATGTAGAAAGTATTTTGCTGAACATCTATATTTCCAACAGTAAGATATAACTGTTACTGTGTTTTTAATCCTGTTTGACTAAAACATGATAAAGTTCATTATTATTATTATTATTATTATTATTATTATTATTATTATTATTATTCCTCCAGGAAAATAGTATTAATGGTTGAATATAATTCTTGATGCATTTATGACTTCTTAGAGAAGCATAGAGAGATGCTAAAATTTGTGTATAAAAGGGACATTTTGTTTGATATCCAAACATAAATCAAAATGGTAAAACACTAAGAGCTCAGTGAAAATAGAATAATAAATTTAAATACTAAATGGGATCTCTAAAATGGGAAAACAATGTTTTCTGAGTGTGGTCAATTGTGTTTCGATTTTTTTATTGCAAAATAAATGAGCCAGGAAAGAGATAGGAATCAAAATTCAACTGAATGTTATGTCAAACACCTCAAGACTTGAAGCACTGGAGATGGAAGAGTACTGCTGATCTACAAACAAAGATCCAGAAAGTCTACAAAATAACTATAAGCAGAGAGCTGATGGAAGAACGCAGACGGTGACACCACGTTTGCGAATGAGTTAAACAGCTTCTTCACGCGGTTTGACTCCCCTCACACTGCCCTCAACTCTCCACACCCCTTCAACCCCCAGCCCCCCAGGGAACTACCCTCCCCACCGTCGCCACTCCCACCAACCCCTGATCCATCCACACCTTCAGTCGGGCCTTCCTCCCCCCTGACAGTAACACCAAGGCAGGTGAGAGGGCAGCTGATGAGGCTGAAACAGAGGAAAGCCTCAGGACCAGACGGCATCCCCCCAAGGCTGCTGAAGACCTGTGCAGATGAGCTCTGTCAGGTCCTCAGCTACATATACAACCTGAGCCTCAGCCTGGGGGTGGTCCCCACCCTGTGGAAGACCTCCTGTGTGGTACCGGTTCCCAAAACGCCACATGCCAGGGAACCGGCCCACTTCAGACCTGTCACCCTGACCTCTCAGCTGATGAAGACCATGGAGCGTCTCGTCCTCGCCCACCTTCGCACCGTGGTGAGCCCCACCCTGGACCCGCTGCAGTTTGCCTACCGGCCCAACATCGGAGTAGAGGATGCCATCATCTACCTGCTGCAGCGAGCGCTCACCCACTTGGAGACCACCGGGAGCGCTGTGAGAGTCATGTTCTTTGACTTCTCAAGCGCTTTCAACACCATCAGACCGGTGCTGCTGAGGGGGAAGCTGGAGGACGCTGGGGTAGACAAACAACTGGTTGACTGGACCATTGACTACCTCACTGACCGTCCTCAGCACGTGCGGCTGCATGGCTGCCAGTCAGAGGTGGTACTCTGCAGTACAGGGGCCCCCCAGGGCACAGTCCTGTCTCCGTTTCTGTTTACCATCTACACCTCAGACTTCACCTACAACACGGACAGCTGTCACCTCCAGAAGTTCTCCGATGACTCGGCGATTGTGGGCTGTGTGTCTGAGGGGAACGAGCTAGAGTACCGGTCGGTCATCATGGACTTTGTAAATTGGTGTTCGAAAAACCATCTGTGTCTGAACACCAATAAGACCAAAGAGATGGTGATCGACTTTAGGAGAAGACCACCACTCCACCCCCCAGTAAACATCCAGGGGCAGGACATAGAAACTGTACAAAGTTTCAAATACCTGGGTGTTCACGTGAACAACAAACTGGACTGGACTCACAACACCGACGCCCTGTATAAAAAGGGCCAGAGCCGCCTTCACCTCCTGAGGAGGCTGAGGGCCTTTGGAGTCAGCAGGCCCCTCCTTCAGAGCTTTTACGACTCTGTAGTGGCCTCAGCCCTCCTCTACGCTGTCGTCTGCTGGGCCCCTGGCAGCACAGAGCGGGACAGGAAGAGGCTGAATAAGCTGGTGAGGAAGGCCACTTCTGTCCTGGGCTGCCCTCTGGACTCAGTGGAGGAAGTGGCTGAGAGGAGAGTGTTGTCCAAACTAAGATCTATTATGGACAACACCTCTCACCCCCTGCATCGGACTGTAGAGGAGCTGAGCAGCTCTTTTAGTAAAAGACTCAGACACCCTGTGTGCAAAAAAGAGCGATACCGCAGGTCTTTTATTCCTGCTGCTACCAGACTGTACAACTCTGCACTTTAACAACTGCTGTGCAATTGTGTTATATTTATTGACCTGTATAATATGTGTACTGTGTGTGAGCCCTCAATGATTGTATATATTTTAATCACCCAAATCTCTACGCTGTGTTTCTTTCTTTGTATATTTGCTTGCTTTTGATGTACTTTATGCACCTTTTCCTCCTTTTGTACCCTAACCGATATGTGACCAGTGAATTTCTCCACTGTGAGATCAATAAAGCTCTTATCTTATCTTATCTTATCTTAAAAGGAAGAAAATCCATTAAGGTGGCATGCAAATCCCCAGAGCGCCAGGAGTGCTGGAACTTATTGGAAAGCCCTTTGGAATTCAGTAGATTAAAAACACTGATTGCAAAAGTTTTAATCAAAGAAAGTTTGTGGGAACACTTAAAAACTATTTTGACCTTAATAACAAGGGAAACTATCAAAAAGTAGATAGACCTCTAAAAAGAAAGATTTTTCCTTTTTCCAATTAGGTGGTCTGATAAATTTGCTAACCACTGTATGTATGTATCATTAAAACTGCACACTGTTTGCAAATCACTATTTGCTTAAATTTGTATGTTCTAATTCCTTCCACTCACCCTAATTGTTTATATTTATTACCATTCTCTCTGCAGGTGAGAATCACACTTAATTGAAAATGTTATAGATAACTGTCAATGCACTTTCCATGCAGTTCTTTGAAACTATGGAGAAGTGTCTTCTGTTGGCTCATTATGTAAAACAACTGGACTCAAGTAGCACTGCAAACTGGGGCCAGCCAGCTGTACTGGGCCTGACACCACAGAATTTAATGGAGCTCACACCAATAAAGCTGGTAAGTTATAGAAAATACAGTCTGTTTCAATACAGCTCTTATTTAGCTACATGCTCTTTTAAAATCTACCCAGCTTTGATGAACAGATGTGCAACAGTTGGAGTTGGAGAAATGTGAAAAAAAATGGGGGATTGTTTTTGTTTTTTTTATAACCATACTGTATTCATCTTTACTAGAATGTGGACAGAATGAAACAGGGTCTGTCCAGAAAGTTGGAGAAGCATCTGAAGGATAAGTGTCTAACCCTCCTGTCTTACCTTCATCCTGAATGGGGTACAGTAGCTGAAACCAAGAGATTTATCGATGTTTCTGAAAAGTGTACTTTCTCATACGGAAAAGTCAGATCACAGACTTTTTTTTTTTATCCAATAATATTTAAAAAAAAAATTATATTATTATCTCTTCTAGAGAATGACAGTGAGGGTCTTAAAGTGATCAAGTTGCCTCATTCGTCATCTCTGCTGGACAAAGAGAAGAAAAAAGCAGAAAGTCTTAAGGAAACCTGGTGGGAAAACTTAATTATTTTGCAAAGACAGACTCAGCTTTACCTCTCTGTAAGTATTTGCATGAGCAGATGTATAGTTGATTTTCTAGCCTCTGAATCAGTTTTAAACCTGGAGTGATAATTATGTTTTTCCAAAATATTTATGTAGTTTTTTTTTTAGTGAAAATGGGTTCTAATGATGCAATGCTGTGTTTGCATCTCCTCAAACATAATACTTTTATTTTAAAAAACTGTGTTTTTCTAATTGCTTGTTCTGATTTTCTGTGGCAAAATGCTGATAGGTAACTAATGATTTTAAAGGACAAAATTAATTCTTCACCACTGCCATATACAATAAACTGATGATTGGTCATTAATTTTTTACTTGTGAGGCATCTATTTGCTTTCTTGTCTCTTTATCGCGCCTTCTGCAATGAAGGACTGAAAGCCTTGATTTAACCCTTTGCTGTTTGCTGTATTTGATGTTGGGGGGAGGAACAGTTGTTTCACAGTATTATATATATTTGTTTGTTTGTATCTTTGCATAGTATACAAACTTAAATTCAAAAGCAAAAAAATGTTTACCCAACAGTATCCAAAAAGTGTATATATGTTCCATGTGTTCTACTAAGTTGGCAAAAATGATATTCTGTGTTTCTCTTTATCACACCAAACAGGAGCTGACTAAGTGCATCCAGGTCCTTCAAACTCTCATCTTGGATCACCGGATCAAGATGCAGACTGATTTGGACCACAGGAAATTAGATTACTTGAAAGAGAAATGTGAACTAGTCCTGCAGAAGATAAAGTGAGTTTTTTTTCGTTGCTTTATACCGTATATCGTGAAGTTAGATACAAGTATCAAATATATATTAAACAGATATTCCTTTATATTTTATTTATAAGGACTGAAATGTTGGAAATTCAGCTAGAGACATACACAGCAGACACGATTTCTGCCCACCAAAAAATCAGGTGAGAATATGTTTGTCTCATTAGTAGAATACAAGCTATTTCCAACTGGGGGTGTCTCTCAGGCTATCATTTTTTGCTGATACCTTTCTGCAAATCTAACACTATTTTTTTGTTATGTCTCAATTTCAGAGAGAAGCTGGAATCTGAGCTAAAGGCTTTGACGGCAGAGAAGCAGGCTATTGAGTCCAAACTGTCATCCTTTGAGATCTTGGGCAAAGATTTCGAAGGACTGGCTAATGAGTACTTCAGATTACGACAAGAGATAGAAATGAAAAACTGGGCTCTAAAGGAACTAACTCAGTACAAAAATAAGTAAACATCATGTGTGGTGTTGAGTTGTCAGCAAGTATGTCACTTTTTGCAACAAGGAATTGCCCAGAATGAAAACACACAGCATTTATGTTACAGTGACTGCTGCCTGCATGTTATTAATGTTATTTTGTCTATCACCATGGTAATTTGCAATTTTGCTTTCTTTCTGTGTATTCATATACACTAATGTTAAAAGCTTTCTTTATTTTCTGCTTTTAATTGTATGTTGCTATAAATCTTCATATTAAGGAAAATAAAAGCTTTGGAACATCCATTTAGAAAATTAATCTTATGCATCTAAAATAATAAAAGAAAAAGGGAATCAAGATGTAACAACTAATGAATTCAAACTGGTCCTTTGTTTAGTAGGTGTAAAATAGGATAAACACTGCACTTTTGAAAGTGTATTAAAAGCACTCAAACATATCCTGAACCAGGAATTATAAAAGCATTAGGAAGAGCAAAACTCAGCTCACTGAACGCTCTATATATGATAACAATGCGGCAGTACCGAAACAAACATGTGGCAGCAAACTTATTTGTGAAAGTGGCAACCAAAATCGTCTCTTCCAGTAGCAGCAGCTGCCCATTTAAGATGCCCACCAATGCTGCCGAGGATTTTGCGAAAAACCAATGCAGGCTTTAGGCAAACATAAAGTCATTATCGTTTTAAGATACTGTATGTTAGTAAATAATTATTTATAAATGATGTTGTTGCTTGTGAACTGACTCAGACCCATTAAGTGACTGCATTTACTTAGTAAGATCGAAGCAGTGTCATACGTAGCTTTATGTATGGGCTATAGAAATAATAACGTGCTTTAAAAAATGACGAAGAAGAGGCATTCCGCAGTGAGTTTGTCATGGGAAATTAAAGTTCAATGACAAGACCTAACAATGAATAATTTCAATACAAGCTGGCGTATAATTAAGCCCCTAACTACGACGGAGACACTGGGTGTCACAGAGTGCCACGAGTACCCTCTTGCAACAGCCACTGCTTTCACCGGAAGTGCCTATTCTGGTTGGCACTACTGTACTGCGAATTGGATTTGGCCCTGCAGAAAGAAACGGTGCAGAGCGAACTACAACATGCCGCTATGATTTTTCAGAGACACTGACGCTGAGCAAGTTACGTCCCTTCTTGCCTTACTACGTCCACTGGATAGGGCTTACGTTTACCGATGTAAGCGAACTGAGACCCTCATATTCTGGTGGACCAGAGTTCACATCAGCTTCACACCTGTCCAAACAAAGCAGGCTATCTAAGGATGCAGAAACTGGTCAGTAAAAATCTGACCGAACAGTTTCGGTGTTTCAAGTGCCCTAGGTTTTGCATGTGTAGCGTGGAAAATTCATTCCACCAAAAATCCTTAATTTTATATTT